ATACATAAATGATTTACAAAATTTCTATTTTGAGTGCCAACATTTGCTGAAAAAAACCTAAAGACAAAACAAAAATTTTAAAGTTTTGTGAAGCACAAAATTTATACTTAAAACAATTTCCATTTACTTTTAAAACAAGTGCAATAATGATGCATCAGACTACCTTCACTGAAAAGTTGTATTTCTGTATAAAAAATTAAATGAAGCAAGTAGTCAAACTTTTCAAAAAATATAAAATTTACAGAGTAAAAAGTAACAATAAATAAAAAGATAAAAATAAAAAACACTCAAATAGAAATATACATGTCTGCACTGATGATTATACCAGATTGGAGAAAAAGAAATTTGAGCCTTTTAGATCATTTTTATCTGGAACATCGAGGTCCAAATTATCTGTATGGAAGTCAAGTCCTCCAAGAGTGTTAAATTTGCGGTTTACCGTTTTTTGATTTTGTGCCTGTGTTGGGAAAACAGTGATGTAGTATCCCTCTGAACTTTCAGGTACATTTCTTTGTGAATTTTGAGATAAATCTCGAGAATAAGCAAAGGATTCTTTACCACTTATTGGGATTTCTTTGGCTTTTCTGGCGTCCCGCATGTGAACGTCAACCCCTGAAGTGGGCATCCCCTCTGTATAAATGAATGGTGCCTGGAAGTCTAGTTTTGAACCCCTGGCTCTGAGCACATGGTCCTTTTCTGTGAAATCATCTATGTTGAGGTCTGACCGATTAAAATTAAAATACTGGTGTAAGGTATCATCCACTGCAGGGTAGCTGGCCCTTACTTTAGTTCCAGATGATTTTTCATTAGTGTAACTAAGACTAACATCTTCATCTATGTCCAGATCAGGATTTTTTATACTCATATTTGTCAGAAATGGTTTGTGAGTTTTAGAGGAAGGTCCTTTTAACTTTACTGAAGGATCATCAATGTTGAGATCTGGCGTGCCAAGCTTCGGAAAAGTGAGACCACCCTTTGTCTTTGGAGCTCTGACATTCTGATCTGGAGCATTTACTTCTGAATTTATTTTCAAATGTGGTCCCTTTGGTAATTTGGCATTGAGTTTTGGTGAACTGAGACTAGGATTTGGGCTATCTAGCATTGGACCAGAAAAACCCAAATCAGGAATGTTCATATGGGGCATTTTCATTTTCCCTGATTGGGTACCAAAATCGACATCTGGAACTTCAAAACTGTTTTTTGAAGTTTTCAGGTTCATATTTGGCAAACTCATGTTGGGAGAATCAAGCTTACCTTTGTTATTTGGGAGTTTGAGATTCAAATCTGGACTATTAAGATCTGAATTTAACTTCAAATTGGGTCCTTTTGGTAATGAAGCTTTAAGATCTGGTGAACCATCTAACGTTGGACCTGAAAACCCAACATTGGGTAATTTCAAAGTTGGCATTTTAGTTTTTCTTGATGTGCTACCAATGTCAGCATCATGTATTTCAAAACCAGTTCTGGAGTTTTTTATGTTGACATTTGGCAAATCAAAATCATTGTCGGGGCCATCAGGTCCTTTTAGGCCTGGCATATTAATATCTGGCCTTTTAAATTTTGCTTTTGGTGACCCAAAGTTGACATCTGGAGAGTTGACATTTAACTTGGGATTTTTCATTTTAATGTTTGGCATGTCCAGATCTGGGGTATTCATTTCACCTTTTATTTTTGGATTTTTCAGATTAAAGTCAGGGGTTTTGAGGTCTGTGTTTAGGCCCAAATCTGGTCCCTTTGGAAGTGTGCCTGAAAAATTCATTTTAGGCATTTTGAGTTTGCCTGAGGGAGCATTAACATCCCAGTCTGGACCCTCAAGTTCTGGCATTTTGAGTTT